AGCGAAGACCTTTTGCGTCTTGGCGTCGCAGGACGCCGAAGAGAACCGGCGCGTTGCCGCGACCGGGGCGAGGGCGATCCGGGAGCTCTCGGCCCCCCACCTGGAAGGTGAGCCAGGCAGGCAGACAGGAGGGACGTCTCCCGACCGCGGATGGTTAGACGGCGGCTCTCCTCGCTCGCTTTCCCGTAGCGCCTGCCGGCAAGTCGGTTGGATTCACGTAACGGGCGAATCCTAAAGGGGGTGGTTTGCTCGTTTGCGACGTCGCGTGTTGGGGGACCCCAGCCAGCCTGATCTGTAAAGCAAGCTTGGTGTATTGTGCGAAGCCATTAAGCCGCGGGATAGGTACTCAATTATGGCTAAACAAGCTATGATTTCAAGGGTTGCGGGAATGCCACCTTAGCATGGTTATCTGATTGTACTCGGTCGGGTTTGCTCCCTCGAGTACCTAGGACTGCAGCCCCAGCGCAGGACGTGGGATAAATGTCTTGGCTCGCCCCTGGGTAAAAGGGACATGATGATGCCTTAATTTTTATCCGGATGGATATAGCGCTATCTACATAAAAAAAAAAAAGTCTGATATAAAATGTTTAAAAATAAGAAAAGTGTTAATTGAATTTGAAAACTCTCCCATTCATGGGGGCTGGGGGAGGAGGCAGGCCCAACACACAGGTACTATTTTAGCCAAGGAAGTCTGAAACAAATTTATTTTTAATTAACTTTCTTAGCTAAGTTGGTACATTTTGCATATGTATTGTCAAGTACTAAGGAGGCTTCCAGAGAAAAGTTTGTGTGTGTACTACTTAGTACATATGGGATTTAAGGCAGGAGCAGATATACTTTTTTGTATTTGCAGTCGTCTCATGTGTTCCTAACTTTTATTCAGTTTTTTTTAACTTTCCCCCCAAAAATATCCTTTAAGGTGGACATTAGCAGCCATTTGTTTAGAAGCATCTCTATTTGGAAAGGTCTTCCAATATGGAAGTTAATAATACAATCAATATGCAAATTAGTGAGTGTGCCAATGATATAACCTGTGCAAGTTTCTGTGTGTGAACACAGGATAAATGTGCATGGAGCAGCATGTATACATACATACATATAGTCATATGTACATACTCTGAATAAATTCCTAGGCATCACTTAACCGCATTCCAGAGTTTTAGAACTTGGGAAGGGGTCTGTGTAGCATGGCCTCATGTGTATTAGAAGTAAATCCCACTGATCATCTGATATATTAACCCTTGTGTACTTGAAGTAAATCCCAAATTACAAATGAGTTCCCATATATAACCCTGCTAGCTTTTTTTTGGCAAGGCATTGAAGTCCTGGCTGTTTCCCCAGGCATTTGGCTCAAGGGGTAGATGAACTCTGCTGCTATTGATGGTGAGTGAGGTTAACAGTTTATCCTGGGGTGTGTGGGGGTTACGTTTGGTAGGTTTGTTTGTTTTAACTTTGTAAGCTGCCCAGAGTCACTTGTGTGAGATGGGCAGCTATATAGATCATATGAATAAATAAATAAATATAGGAGTGCTGTCTTACTCCCAAGCACGTGCATTTAGGAGGACTGTGTTTCAGTTGAAGTAAGATCTGTTGACTCAAGATCAGTTGGACTCACTTTTAACTAAACTCTGTAGGATAACACTTTAAATCTCATTTCACTTAATGGATGAGTGTGATGAAGCTCCTAGATTTGCAGGAGAACCAGAAGGGTAATTCAAGTACAGATACGCAATCACAGGTGAAGCTGGTATTAAGCCTCATATCATATCCTTGGCTGCTGTACAGCTCCAGAATGCAAGCTTCCACTTGCTGGAGTCCAAATACTTGAGTGCAGGACTTTGTCTGGGTTCCAGATGTGCTTTATTTCCCAACAGGTCAGCCAATTAGTTAAAAGTTTTAAAAGGTTAGTTCTCAACTCACCAATCAAAAAAGACGAACAATATTCTAAGGCAGCGTTTCTCAACCTTGGGAACTTTAAATGGTATGGACCAGTTCCCAGAATTCCCCAGCCAGCATGACTGGCTGAGGAATTCTGGGAGCTGGTCCATACCTCTTAAAGTTCCTAAGGTTGAGAAATACTGCTCTAAGGAAGTATCACAGAGATGTTATAGCATCAAAGGGAGAAGGAGACAAGCAACCCTCCCTGCATCTACTGCTGGATCTCTATGACCAATGGTCTTTGCATATCAATTATAACCTCCCACAGACTCTGTGGAACTTGTTCAGGATTGCTCTGGAAAGAACATATGACTGCAATCATAAGTGGAGAAATAGTTTTTAAAGTTCCTTAAAGAACAACTTCAGAACTGCCTTGGTAGCTGAGCCAAAGTCCCTTCCTCTGCAGTAGGTAGATGCACTGTGGATTTTCAACTTGCCCATGACTTTTCTCATTGCTTCCTACCTGAGTGGCATTTGTTCTCTTCTCCTCCCTGAATGTTTATTAGCTGAGTTGTTTGTTAGATGGAATCCTCTATGCAGTAAGGCAGGGTAAATAATAACCAGGAGATCTTTGGCATAGTTTATTGAAAGAGCTGTCATGAAACAGTGAATGATGCCTGAATAAGAGAACCCTCCCCAGTCTATTGTGTTCACCAAGGCTTTATCAATTTAGTGTAAGAGTTTCCAGGCCTGGAGGATGCTCAGTAGGGGGAGCTAGAAGAGCAATAAGGGGGGGGAAGGGCCTTTCCCAGATATGCAGATATTTAGATGCTTCCCTTAAATAAGGAATTTGTCCAAAAGGAGTACTGTATAGATCCTACCATGTCCAGTGTTGGTTTGGGGTTAGCATCAAATTAAGGTAGGCAACCTGTATCATTCCTGATGGTACTGAACCCCATTGATCATCATCTTAGGGATCTTGGGATCTATAGTTTAGCAGCATCTCAACAGCCACAGTTTCCCTGCCTTTGGAGTAGCTGAAGGTGAAAAATTAAGATTTAGGGCCATACTTGAAGGCCTTATGCGGGCTAACAGAGTTCCCCCCAAAATTGCACCAGACTGTAATTCTTAACTTGATATTAACCCCATACATGGGGAGTTAGCAACCACAACTCTAATTAGTTTAATTTTATTCCAATTATTTTTAAGTAAAATCAAATCACTGTCCTTTATAGAAGGGGTGGGCCTGGCATACCAATAAAATGTCAAGTGCAATCTTTGCTCAGAAAAAGTGCTGTAATTGTTAGAGCTACCACATCTGACCTGAAAAAATCTGAATTATCACTAGATGTCAGCAGAGAAATTCAGAAACCTTAAACTCTTTGCAGCCATCCAATGGTCATCTGGAATTTTGCAGCTCACATTTGGTAGTCCTGGTAATTGAGCAGCTGAACAAAACTGACATTCATTTCTGCCTGAATCATAGGTTGCCCTGACTCCCAAATGCAAACCTGTTTGGCATGGCAACCTTGAGAAGCTTGTGTGGTTCCAGTTGCCTTTAGAAAGGTCATACAGGCCTCTGTCAATAGGTATTGTACTTCAGTAACTCTGCAATCCAAGCTGTGAGTACAATTTTCTTTTGGGATAGGTGAAACCACTTCCATACAATGTATAGCATGGGATGCAGTCAGCTCAAAGCCAAAGCAAGCATTGAAATATGGTGTTGGGTAAATAAAAGCATTCAGGGCTTTGTAAAAAGCTGTATATTCATTTATTTAGATTTAGGAGATGTATCTTTGGCAAGGTTTAAATAGATTCTGCTGATTTTTGTGTTACTCGAAGAATCTGTTTGATCAGGAGTAACAATGGGATAAGAGAAATGGATGAACACACAGTGGGAAGCAAAATTCTCTTTCAAGTTTTTTAGAGCTATTATTACAGTTTCATTCTTAGGTTAACCCAGAATAGTTTGCTCTTACGTGCATCACTGTCTAGCCATTTGGATAATAACAAGGAGACTCGTATGTGGTTTGAGTCACCCCCGAAAGCAGTGAAAGATCAAATTCTTTTCCAAGATCTTTATTGCTCTGGAGGTTATAACAATAAAGTTCTTTATTCCAGCCCTTTCTGCAAATCCTTTTACTAGCTCTTTTCAAAACGTCTCCTTGGGGAGTTGTGCTACACACACCACAAAAACTGGCGAGGGTTAGGCAGAGTAAAGTTAAAATGAAGAGCTCTGCCAGGTGGGTTTCACAATGGCTGTAGTGATGTGCTCCTTCACTGCCACTAAACCATGCTCCATTATAGAACTGTGTGACGTACCTGGCCAGCTTTGGAGTTTGAGTATCTTTTGAGAGTGGTGCACATTTTCAAGGATTGGAGGGCTCTGTGACTGAGTGATGAGCTCGGCCTTCTGAGATTAGCTTTTTCAGCACACTGACTGACTGGTGCCATTGCTTTCAAAAAATCATTCCTTGTGATTTTTAAAAAGCTGTGACTTTTAAAAAGCTGCTGCTGCTTTAAGAAAGAATCCACCCCTAGAAATGAATGTGATTTTCAAAGCGGTGGCACCATTCATTATTTTTTTTCCACAGGCAAATGTGGGAATCTGAAAAGGTCAGCTGCACTGAAAATAGTGGAGAGGAGCTGCACTCGCAGGACGTCTGGAGCACTTTTTCTGAATTGTTTTCAAACCGTGCACATCCCTTGAAACTAGGATTGTTTGCCTTCCTATGTTCTCCTGCAATCATCTTTCTGTTAACCGTCTTGCACATAAATGCTGATGATTGTCACTTTTGCAAGGCTTCGTTCTCATTAAGTAGAAATGTAGGAAACCGCTTTCTGTTCACGCTGGTGGTCTGCTTGGGTTTGCTTGTGTAAACCAAGTGAACTTGGAGTCTGATGGATGCTCAGGACTGGCTCCTCCATTCAGGGCTGACATATGGACTCGCTTCAGTCTGTGATGAATGCCTTAGTCAGAGTCCTTCCTCTCCAGCTTCCAGTCATGTGTGCATGCCAGTGATCCATGGAGCTGCCCTGTGATGTAAAGAAACATACTCCAGAACCAGAGGGATTTCAAAACCTCGTGGTGGCTGCCTAGATGGATTGCCAGTGTAGTGAGTCAACATTTTTTTTAGCTGTTACCATGAAGTTCACAGACAGACAAGGCAAAAAAACAAAAAAAGGATTTGGGGTTGCTAATTGAAAAATGAAAAGCACTGCTCTTAGC